CAATACCCCGTTTCTGAAAACTGATTAATCTCCAAGCCGCAGCCCTCCCAATTGGACGTGTTCATGCTAAAAGGAGCTATGTTGCGCACAAACCCTATGCACATAGTTCCTTTTAGCATGAATAGGTTCAATTGGACGTATTTCTGTCAAACGGAATTATGTGCATTATGACTTGAGCACTGTTATGCATGTATTCTTATGGGTCTTAGGGCTCATGTCTGGAGGCACATAGGTCCGTTTGGCAGAAATACGTCCAATTATGAAGCGAGCAGATCTCCTTGGAAGTGGATCGGGACCCTCGAATGAGCTGAGAAATATGATGGTTTTGAACGATTCGGTGAAAATGCTGGGATCTCTTTATCATGAATATTCTGCTATTGATTTTACGGATATTTTTGGTTTCATGGAATAATGACGGGAGTCTGGGAAATTGAGTTCTTGTCTGCGGCGAATATTTTTGATTTGACTATTGATATACCCTTTAGATTTTAGGAGGAACACGATGGTCCTCTTCGAAATCAACCGTCGCGCTTAAAAAGAGCTCTTGGAGTGAGACTGCCACCTGCGGGGCGATTATTGAAATGATATCGACTGTATGTCAGCGCTTTGTCGTGTCGCGCCATCGACTAAGCAATTGCTTAGTCGATGGCGCGACACGACAAAGCGCTGACATACAGTCGATATCATTTCAATAATCGCCCCGCAGGAGAAAAAATTGAGGTGGTCACATTCTGTGGATTTGTCCACCCCGTGATGTAGGTAGATACCACGTGGAATCGATATTTCAGCAAAATCCGAAATTCAAAGTATGAACAACGGACTAAAACGTCTTACTGGTAAAAATTGGCGATAGGAGCTGCGTTCCAAAATACCATAGGAGTTCTTATAGCCGATTGAAGAAGGCAATAGAAAATCATATAGCTGGCTGTTGAAAGTGGAAAAATCATACGGCCGGGCTACACAAAATTATACAGCCGGGCTATAGTTTGTATGCGCCAATGCGCGTTTCGCGCTGGTTGCTCGCCCGCCGCGCCGCGCCGCAGCGTACCGCGGCCCTTGAAGCAACTATTTCACACCAGAGGTGTTGCACAGTATCATACGAAATTGAAGGCGCTCCAACATATTAGGAATGGCAGGCATCCTTCAAAAGTACGGAGCTTTCCTCGCAAAATAAATCAAGATACTACGGCCCAAATAGAGAGCGGTAGCCCAAAAACTCACTAAGTCCTAGCATCCGTAATTAGAAACGTTTAGCATACACTTTATCGCCAGGCTGTTGCTTAATCCGCATCGGCTATAAAAGGCTATAAGAAATTGTGTTGCCGGCTATAGAAGATATCGGAAATCTTACAGCCGGCTGTAGGTCTATGGTATTTTGGAACACAGATTCTACTGTCAATTTTTACCAGTGCTGGTTTTTCGCTGAGTTCAACTCAAAATATAATTTCAAACACTTTTTATAAAATGAATTTTTTCCCTGAACTACACCATTTTGAAAAAAATCGATGACAAAAAGCATCTGTACCCACCTACGTCATCGACGTTATTTAAGATATGCCCGAAATGCCACAACCTTCTTTTTTTCTCTATTAGGTTGTCATGTAGAAATGAACCTGTTTAAAAGAGTCAATGTCTACAGCGATGACTGAAGTCGAAAAATATTTACCGTAAATTGCGACGTTGTTAGTCTTCATTCATTTTTAATTTTTTCTCAGGAGATAATTTTTTTAAAAATCCAACATGATTTGTTCGTCGGATGGTAAAGTGATTACCAATGTCTGACTTGATCTGCGTTGATACCTATTTGTGTCATCGAGAGTGGAAAGTTTGAACTTCCTGATTTTCTTGATTATTGTCAACGCCAATTTTTCACTAATTAATTGATGCGAATCAGCAGGGTTGTTAAAACTGTGGGCTAAAAGTTACCCTCTTGAAACTTGATAGTCGTCGCTCAGATAGGCAACCCTGTTAATGTAGTTGGCCCTCTTTTTGGACAGAGAGTTTGATTGGTTATGGAGGTGAACTCTTTGCAGATCAGGTACCTCCTACATCGAGGTCTCAACTTTCAAAGCTTATTTTGAGCTTTGGAGCGGGTTTAAAAAAAAAGCGTAACATAATTGTGTTCCTTTTACAAATTTAACATAGATGCAGATGATGAACTTGAAAATATCAGCTGCATTTAAGAAATCCACTCAGGGATTTTTGGTTCAAAAACAATAAAAATAAATAAAACAGAAAATCGTGTCAGCTTCAATTTTGTTAGGATGAAATGATCATAATTTACTGCTATGTGAGATTTGTAGACAGAATAAGACGAAAATGATCGAATACAAATAACCACAGCTGCGCGGAGGATGTTCTCTGGCCTACCTCGAAAATTGAAGGCGAAAAGCAATGGGCGAAATCTCCATATAGCTTCGTCCAACCGCTACCCAGTTACGATGTAATTCATAGACCCTACGTGCGTTGCTATCTTGCTTACAGTGTGAAAGTTACGTTCGGAGGTCAACAGTCAAATCTCCAAATGGTGACTGATTGCTAAATTGTATTCAATACTTTTTGCTACAGAGCAATATATTTAGTACGGCTATCCTATAATTTGCTCGAACTCTCGCAGCAATTTGCTCGATCCGACCCCATCAGTAATCAGTATTAGGCGAATAATATTTTCAACAAATTCCTCATCAATCTTCATTACTTAGGCGAAACTCAGCATTGATCTCCGGACTTAACTTTTGTCTTATTCCCACATTGCTTAGATTGAGTGTACTTGAACGTTCTCCAAAATACGTTGTCTCCGGGTGGGGTAAACCCCGTGGCACGGGTGCTCCTGCAAACTATAATCATTGAAATTGATAGCTAGACAAAGCCATAGACAAAGAGGACAAAGCAATAAGGGATCAATCTTATGAGAGGAAATGGGTGGTTCTTATAGACTAAAGCAGGGCCGGATTTACTTACTTGCCGCCCATGGGCCGCCTGTATTTTGCCGCCCCCTTCTCATTCGTTTTGAAACATCAATAAATACCATCAAGTGAACGTGCCGGAGGGGGAGAGGTTCATAAGACGCGTTTACTCGTATTGGACACATTTTTTGCGAGAGCCCTGTCAACACTATGGTAGCAAAAGTTCACGGAACTTGGCGTGAAAGTTAAGGTCCGTAAATCTATTTCTGTGTGGACAAGGCCTTCCATTTATATGAAATGAACGAAAAAATAATGACAAAACAACCATAAATGTGGTTTAATAATTTTAACTTCCACCGCCGCGCCACGCAGACCGCTCTGTGTTTGGCGCAATGCGTGAGGTATTCCTACAGTCTTGTAGGCGCTATGCGTTTCACGCCGACCGCCGCTGCACGCACTGTGTTTGACGGACTGCTTGAAGTATTCATGCAGTTATGTAGGCGCTATGCGTTTCACGCCGCCCGCAGCGACCGCACTGTCTTTGACGCAATGCGTGAAGTATTCATTCAGTCTTGTAGGCGCTAATATGTGTTACATGCCGACCGCCGCGCCGCACCGAGGGTTTCTCCGTTTCATCTCAAGTTCTCGTCACCATTCTCTCTGCGCCGCGCCGTTCCAGACCAAATTCCGTATTCGGTTTTTCTCTTAGTCTTAACTCGACTAATTAAAGGTGCTGTCTCTTGTATCACAGAAAGACGATAAGACATAAGCGATAGACACATAGAGAATGGAGCGATCCCATCGGTTGAACCGGATGGTGCTCACCTCATTTGTCCATTGCAACCGCCCATCGCTCCAGAAGGATCGCTCCATTTTGTCTTTGTTTCATTTGTCTATCTCTCTCTTTATCAATCAAGCTGATTATTGACTTGATCGACTAAGCGGTAGACAAACAGAAAATGGAGCGATCCTGTCGGTTGAACCGGTTGGTGCTCACCTCATTTGTCCATTGCAATCGCCCATCGCTCCAGATGGATGCTCCATTTTGTCTTTGTCTCGTTTGTCTATCGCTCTTTATCAATCAAGCTGATTATTGAATTGATCGACTAAGTGATAGACAAATAGAAAATGGAGCGATCCTGTCGGTTGAACCGGTTGGTGCTCACCTCATTTGTCCATTGCAACAGCGCATCGCTCCATTTTGTCTTGGTCTCGTTTGTCTATCACTCAGTTTATCAATCAAGCTGATTATTGAATTGATCGACTAAGCGATAGACAAATAGTAAATGGAGGGATCCCATCGGTTGAACCGGTTGGTGCTCACCTCATTTGTCCATTGCAACAGCCCATCGCTCCATTTCGTCTTAATCTCGTTTGCCTATCACTCAGTTTATCAATCAAGCTGATTATTGAATTGATCGACTAAGCGATAGACAAATAGAAAATGGAGCGATCCTGTCGGTTGAACCGGTCGGTACTCACCTCATTTGTCCATTGCAACAGCGCATCGCTCCATTTTGTCTTTGTCTCATTTGTCTATCACTCAGTTTATCAATCAAGCTGATTATTGAATTGATCGACTAAGCGATAGACAAATAGAAAATGGAGCGATCCTGTCGGTTGAACCGGTCGGTACTCACCTCATTTGTCCATTGCAACAGCGCATCGCTCCATTTTGTCTTCGTCTCGTTTGTCTATCACTCGGTTTATCAATTTCGACACTAATCAGCCCGCGGTGTCCTTGACCTCTCGGCCGCGGGCGGCGGTTGCCAGAGCCGCGAATCCGCCGGTCGGATTCGCGCTCGCCGAAAGTCGTATTTTTAACTCGGCGAAAGCGCGGTCCGGAGTCCGCGGTTCGGACGATGGACTTCTCGGGCCATCTCGGGCTTCGGCGTGGCGGACCTCCGGTCAAGTCGAGCGCGAATCACAGGGGCGAAGAATCTTCATCCGAATCCACACCGCGACTCAGTCCTCACCCGAGCCTCGCCACTCACTCCGGCGTCTAAATATAAAAGCACTCTGTTGTGAAGTTTTGAGCCCCCCTCGCAGTGTCCGTTCGCTTCTGTTGCAGGGCCTGAGACCCGAGAGCCGCGCGCGCAAGGCCGGAGACCCCGGCGGCATGTGAAGCGCTGAAACATGGCAACGTCCCGCTCGCAAGCCCTTCCACCTAATGGCTATTGGCATAGGTAAGTGCTCACTCTTTCGTTCCTCCTTCAATCGATGCGCTGTTGCCGCTTTGCCCCGATTTCCCGCCGATCGGAGCCGATAGGCGGCGAGAGGTGATGAGTGCTGAGTCATGCCGAGCTTCGGGCGAAGCTCATCACGCTAAATGGATCGCGTTAAGCAGAAAGGAACCAAGCCACATCAGCTATTGCCAAATTTAACCAGACGATTTAATTTTTTCCATGAAAATAGTTGTGCGGATTTTCGTGCAAATTTTAGTGAATTTTCTGCACAGTACAAAGCGAATTCCCTGAAATTTTCAAAGGAATCCGCACAAACCTTCTTTTGTAAAAAATTAAACTGCCTCGTTAAATTTGGCAATAGCTGATGTGGCTTGGTTCCTTTCTGTTAAACTCGGTCCAAATAACGTTTATAGTTTACATCAGACGAGATATTACTGCTGTGCTAAGTGAGAACGCCGTAAATCCATCAAGAGTTTGCCGCGTTTTTTGGAAGTTTACATTTTATAAAATAAGCACTGATCGACTCGTGAATCTCAAATTTTCAGTTTAAGTTCTTGATACTACTTGCGAAAGAATTCTGTGAAAACATTGTCGTAATGTACGCAAGTTTTTCTGCTATGATAAATTTTTTCCAAAAAATTTAAAATGGCGATACAGCGTTTTTGCTTAGCACGGCAGATTAGTAGGGCTATCGATCAATTACGCAACGTTTTATGGGGTGGACGGGTCTGCAAAAATTTATTGAGGAGCGTTACAAGGGGGAGGGGGAGGTATTGAGACCAGCGTTTTATAGTGTTACGTACTGAATTTCAATTTTTTAAAATTTTTTAATCGTTCTCCCCAATTACTTTTAACTCAATTTATTAGCCTTTCCAATGGGTCCGTTGTGCGCAAAAGATACAGCCGTGTCAATAAAATTTTGAGGGATAAAAAAGATCAAAAATCACGATAACGAGTTAAAAGAGTCTTAAATCTTCTTCTTTAGGCGTAATTTGCATAGTTTGGAACACGCTTTTTAAAATTTTCCGCATCTGGGGGCAGTTTCCAGTCATCGAATCAGGAAACAAGCAACTGCAACTTGCGGTTAACGAAAACTGACAATTTTCGATTAATGAACATAACCTGCGGATCGATGAATTAGAGGGATGGTGTGAGTTCTGCGTTGGCGTAGACCACTATATCAAATGAACAAAATGAACAGCAACAACGAATCAGCAACTTTCGGTATTTACCGGCAACTGCCGAGGCAGTCTATAGTTTCCGCGCGTTTACCCTGGTAAAAATTGGCGATAGGAGCTGCGTTTCAAAATACCATAGGAGTTCTTATAGCCGACTAAAGAAGGCTATTGAAAATCATATAGCTGGCTGTAAAAAGCGGAGCAAATCATATAGCCGGGCTATACGAAGCTATAAATAAGTATACAGTCGGGCTATAGTTCCTGTCGCCGGGCTTTACACTTTATCGCCATTGGCTACAAAAGGCTAAAAGAAATTGTGTAGAAATTCGTGTGCTTTGGAAATCATTAAGTTTGATACGGAACTACCATAATATTTACAAAACACACATTATATTTTCCTTTAAAACATTTTTTTTTCATCAATTAAAATGAGAATAGTCCATACAGAGTGTGCAAACATTTCAAAATCATGAGTTGAATAAAGCTGACTCCGCGAGATTAAATATTAGAGCATAACACAAAGCGGAGCAGCGACGCACTGGCGCCTACAAACCTAACAGGGATACTTCACGCATTGCGCAATGCGTGAAGTTTCCCTTTTAAGTTTTGTAGGCGCCAATGCGCGTTTCGCGCTCTTTGCCCGCCCGCCGCGCCGCAGCGTGCCACGGCGTCTGAAGCAACTATTTTACACCAGAGGTATTGCACAGTATCATAAGAAATTGAAGGGACTCCAACATATTAAGAATGACAGACATCCTTCAAAAGTACGGAGCTTTCCTCGCAAAATAAATCAAGATACTACGGCACAAAAAGAGAGCGGTAGTCCAAAAACTAACCAAGTCCTAGTATCCGTAATTAGTGACGTTTAGCATAAACTTTATCGTCTGGCTGTCGCCTAGTCGCCATCGGCTACAAAAGGCTATAAGAAATTGTACAGCCGGCTACAGAAGCTATTGGAAATCTTACAGCCGGCTTTAGGTCTATAGTATTTTGGAACACACATTCTACTGCCAATTTTTACCAGGGTACTCGTTTTAGTTACTAGGAAACCGCCCCCGTTACGGAAAATTTGAAAAAAGTGTGTTTCAAACCACGCAAATTACGCATTGTAAGAATTTTTCGGTGAGTGACGAAAATCTACAGCAAGAATAACTGTTTGTAATTTCTTTGAAACAGAAATGAAATATGAGCGGATATTTGCAACGTCGTTATCGCACCGGGTTTAGCAAAAACGAACCAACTTTTTCGGCTCATTTCTGCAACGACAGATCTGTCATTGCTCCTCCTACTTAAGTATATCGACGGTGTAAGTTGGCAATCACATAACTCGGTTTGCGACGTCGCAGACTTCCTGTCATACTTTATTTTTTAAACGGAAAACTACTCAACGGCAATTCTTTAAAACTGTCATGATTTTTCTTCTCTATGCGAAGAAAATTCTGCAAAAACTTCAAGAATTCATGTCAATTTTTTCTCCTTTAAAAAAATGACGTAGAGGCGGAGATTTTCAGACACCGCAAACGAGTTATGTGATTGCCGACTTACACCGTCGATATGCTTCTGTAAATGTGAAATCGCACTCGGTCCGCAATTGTAACTAGGTAATTCTCAACATTACCTGTCGATACCCACCATCTTAATTTTCTTTACTTTATTATGACCTTTTTTTGGGAATTGAGTGTCAATTAAGAGGGAGGGGGGACAGTATTGGTGAACTTTGATTGACTGTAGAGCATTATATGCTTATGTTTAAAGTATAGTTATTTTTTTTCTCGTAAAAATAAAATTAGACCAAAAAAAAAAACAATGTACAGGAATGCAACCTGTAGGATAGGTACGAGCTTTTTATAATAAATGTTTGGTACATTAAGAGAAAGAAAAGGGAGTAGGTCCCAGTGCATCGTGATTTTCTTATCTCTACAGAGAAGTATGTGCAAATTGCTCGAGAATTTAACGTTTTAAAGATTTGCCTTCATTTGAAAAGGTAGTCAAAACGAGTCCCCCATTAGCAAGAGTGGTATCTCTTTGGATGAATGCAACTAGGATCAACCTAGCTACATCAGATTTTGCCCAATTTTATTTAAATAGAAACCTAAGCAACACCCTCTCTTGAAATTTTGTGAGTAGTTAGATTCGTTATGAGCTGGCGGAAATTTACAGGAAGTCCAAAAACATTCTCTTGCTTGAATTTTTTTGAGAAAATAAAATATGAAAGGCAATTTGACAACAAAAAATGCAGTCAATTTTATTCTGGTGAAATCAGCCCACAATGGAGATGCACAGTTATAAACCCAGTCTACCCAGCTAGGGTGTTAACATTAACAAAGTTAGGTAAAAGAATTTCGGTTGCATTGAGTCGCATTCTATTAGTGTAGTGCACGTTTGATTTAGCTCCATTTTTACTTCCAAAAGCAAAATTCTTGCCGAAAAGAGAAAATCGAGCTTGGTACGACCAGAGATAGCCGTTTTCCAATGATGCTCGTAGAACATAATACATATTTGAGAACTGCATGTTGCTGCTATGAACATATATCAAGTATCAGGCCCACCACATATAATGGAGGGAATGCAAGTACTTCTAATAAATCTTGCGGAGCGGAGGGGGGGGGGCTCTTATAAAGCTTGAGCTAAGAGTGCCCCGCAAGTGTTGGATTCAATGGGTTTTGAGAGACCATTTCGATACGGCCGAATAAAGTAAAAACGTCGAATATTCACATGAGGTTCATGATGAAGTTACGATGTTTGGTCGAAGACAGTGGAATAATACGGAAGGCAATTACATACGTACTGTATCAAGCCAAGACCCTCAAACATTTATTGTCGGATTGACTCTTTGAGCTGCTTTTAAAACTCCGCCAACTATTATTACGTCATTTGGTGATGTGATTTAGGAGTCTCGATCGAAGTTCAGGCGCGATTAAAGTGAGCGTAGAGCAACTTTTCATTTCGAATTTTTCTTCGACTTCTCTTTCAACTCGCAGAGAACGATTGGCACAAATTCGTCGTTAGAGACTATTCATCTTTTTAAACATTTGAAAGTTAAAATATCTTCATATACACGCATCCATTCATCCGTGAGAAGTATAGAATTTATACAATTTTCAACTTCAGTGGTCAGCGTTCAAGCACGGTATCTTTTGAACGGATACCGCTTGACCCGGACTTGGTTATTTTTAGGAGATGGTGAGTTTTTAGCCGTATGATCGGCTGAAATAAATGTAAAATAATGGAAGATCGTGGGGGGTTTTGGACTTTAATGCTTGGAGGTATACCAAATTATTTCAGCTGTTGAGGTGCCTGGAATTGATATCCGAGGGAAGGAAGTAGGCGTCGTTCAGCTTCGAAATTTATCTTTATCGAATCTTCCTCCTTTTTTACGAAAACACCCCCCCCCCCTTCCGATCAATGTAGAGGCATCATTATGGGCTCGACGTGAAGCGCATCGATACGTTTGCTTTAATCTAATGAGGTAGGAAAAACGAGCTCTCTCCAGTAGTGCTTCATTACGAGGATGCAGTTTGAACATATTAATTATTCAGAGAAAGTTAGTTTATAATTTTTACAACGTGCAAGTACTTTTTTGGCCGATTTTCTTCAACGAAACCTGCACGTTTTAAAAATGCATCGTTATCGGGACCAAAAAACTGTCCTAGGAAAGTGGCAAACATCCCAAATTTAATTTTTTTTTTTTTTAATCAGCACTAGTTGAAATAAATTGCTGCTTTACATTTCTTAGTGGTGAATGAATATACTATTGGACGTATTTCTATCAAACAGAACTATGTGCATTATGACGTGAGCCATATTATGCACATATTCTTATGGGTCTCAGGGCTCATGTCTTAATGCACATAGTTCCGTTTGACAGAAATACGTTCGATTGTTCATTCATTTCTCACGTATGTTCAAATTACAATTTTATCTTGGCTTTATATGGCTGCAATTTACATTATTTCAATGGGGAAATTAAGAAATATAGATGGCAGCAATTCTAAAACTTTTAGGTTAGACGTCATGCACCTTTTCATACCTACTCAAGGCCTGAAATAGACTATATTTTGCAATTAGGAACTACAATCTCTGGCTCATGTGTAAAAAAACATATGTATGTGGGTGACCTAATGGTACATACGTTGTTTTTGAACTGAGGTAGAAATTTTAGTCCCTAATTGCAAAATGTAGTCCAAATATGATTTGAGTCAGAAATGACTATCCAACAAATTTTCCAGCTTACATTCCGGCTTAAATTTAGCGTGATTTGCGAAAAGTCAAATTTTTGCTACTCCGACAAAAGAGCGCATCGGCATTTTGAGATAAGCCGTATTGTCCAAGTGACTCCATGTATTCCAAGAATTTTGAGAAAATTGAGATATACCTTAACATTAGGAGAATGAAGCTAACGCATTGACTGATGCAATAGACACTCTACTCGAAAAAATGTACTTTACTTTAAAATTCGAAACTACAATTTCTGACTCATCGTCAAAAAGTCTTATGCGCACAAGGAACCTAATGGTGTGCACATCAGTTGTTTCTAAACTGAGACAGGCATTTTACAAATAGTTCCCAATTGCAAAATGTAATCCAACAGTGGCGTGGCGTGCTCTGCGATATATCGATTGTTGTGCCATTTAAACCTATGATAAAGAATCGATTATTAAAGTGTTCGCTGCGAACACCCTGTTTATCGATCCATTTACATAGGTTTAAATGGTATAACAATCGATATATCGCGAAGCACGCCACGCCACTGTAATCAAAATGATGGAAAGTTGTATGAGATTTTCCAAAATTCACATTTTCCATATTTTCATGCACTAATGTTCTGAAAAATGTTTCAGGGCCCCAGGAGGAGGAACAGGACCCGGCGGCGGCGGAGGGGCCGGTCCCGAGGGCCGGGGCGGCGGCATCGTCTCGATCGGCTCGGTGCGGGTCCGGCTGACACCGAGCCCCCAGAGAGTGGCGCGCTCTGGGGGCGGCGAGGGGCAAGACTGCTGCTGCGGCGTCCCGTGGCCCCGCGCGGGCCCTTCGCGTCCCCACGCTAATAATAGCCGGGCGCAGGCTGCAGCCCCGACGGTGTCGCCGCTGCCGACGCCAGTATACCGGAGCAGCTTGCAATGGACGCAGCACACGAGTGCCAGCGGGTTAGGTGATGTGAAGTGCCCGCGCAGTCGCCCCCCGGAGTGGTCATCGTCAGCCAACGGCGGCACCCTGGAGCGGCTCCAGCGCTTCCGCCTCGGGGGCGGCAGCGAGCGGGGCGCGCGCGGAGGCTCCGCCGGCAGCGCCGCCAAGAAGAGCGGCGGCGCCCACAAGAAGAAACCGCGGAGCTCCGACAAAGCCGAGCGCCTCCGCGAGCTCACCGAGAAGCTCAAGCTCCCCTCGAGCAAGCAAGTCGCGGCGACAGACGCGAGTGCCGTGCCCGTCCAGGATGTCTTCGAGTGCGTGCGTGTCCCCAAGCCGGAGCCGGTCATGAGCACCACTTACACGCAGCGGACCATCCCCTTCCGGAGTGCCTCCTTCACGCAGATGGACTACAGCCCCGAGCCCTCCACCTCCGAGACTACCCCCCAGTCCAAGTTGTCCCTCATCCCCCAGGCGACGGCGCGTCTCCTGGGTCGCCGCTTCGGGAGTCAGTCCTTCGAGTCCTCGATCGACGAGCCCGAGGAGTCTTGCTCTAAGGACCTCCCGCCTCAACCGCCCAAGCGGAACAAGCACCGTGTCCCCAAGGTGGACCACTGCACCCAGACGGTCGATGAGGAGCCAACCCAGGCAACCGCAACTGCGCCAAAGTCCAAGATCCGACCGCCTGCCCAGCTCAACAAGCAGCTGTCTTTGAACTCCAACCTGGAGAAGCTGGACACTTTCTTAAACGAGCTGATCGGGATCAAGATGGAGTACGAGGACAAGTACGCGCGGCCGGCGGATAAATCGAAGAAAGCGCGGAGCATCGGGAATATCAGTGCGTTGGTGGATAACAAGCTCGGGAAAATCCGCAAGAGTGATGGTGATAGCAACAATAACGTGAGTTTCCCCAAGTCTGACGGGACGAGTAATAATAACGGTTCTAATCCCACCAGTAGTAGTAATAATAATAACGATACCAAGGCTAGTAGTAATTATAGTTATGACGACGCGAGTGACGATTTCGCGAGTAGTAATGTTAGTGGTGTCGACCTCAGCTTCTGCGGGAACGACACGATCAATAAAATCAGTGAAAGTGCAAGTACAGCCAGTGAGAATAAAGTGCGATGTGATACGGATAGTGAGAGCGCCAGTCGGAACCAATCGATGGACGAGGAGATCAAACTGCCCGCCATTTTGGGGGTCACCGGAGCCTCTAGTGTGAGCTTCGACGTCCCACCAGAGTCGATCGTGTCGAAGTGGTCCTTCAGTAAGAGCGAGTCGATCCCCGAATCTCCGGACGAGATCAAGACCGTCTGCCTCGAGGTGAAAAACGATTCGCTCGAGAAGAAAGACTCTGCTTCCTTCGATTCGGGTAGATCGGAGAGCAAGAGCTTGGAGTCCTCCCGCAGTCCGAGCGGCGAGGACAACGATAGCGGGAAACCGATATCGAGAACGGACACCATCCCCAGTCAAGTCACGGTCTACGTTACCTATGAAAAAGACGACAGCACCAGCGATGCGCCAAAAACCAACGATTCGACAGATCTGTCCGTTTCAATAACGGAGCCGGGTTCGCAGCCGTTGTTGAGCGATAGTTCCTTCCGGGATAGCCTCAAGCTCTCCAAAGACAGCAGCCTGGAGTCCAACTCGAACCTGAGCGACATCCACTGCCCGAAAACCCCCGAGACCAAATACGAGCTACGGGACGTGGCCAGTCTCGAAGCGAACCCGGCTGCTAAAGAAGAACTACTCTCGCGACTCCAGTTGCTGTCCGAGCCGGACAAGCGAAGACCTAAACTGGTGGCGCAGAGCTCGGAAGAACGGGACGACGATGGGGTTATGTTCCGCTCCCCGAAGAGATTCGTCCTCACAAGAGCGGACTCTTTATCTGAGGGTGAGAGTGATGCGGGTGATCGGAGACCTGTCACGCCTGCCAGTGACAGGGATTCGACGGCCTCGCCGTCCCTTCTGGACCACCCCGACCACGAGCAGAAGAAACACCACCCCCACCATCATCACAACCACCACCATAATCACCACCATCACCATCCCCCGAAGATGTACGAGAAGCGGCCGCTGCGAGGCCCGTACGGCCAGATGCTCGAGGCCGAGATGAAACGCCCGGAGAGCACAACAGAGAAGCTGCACAAGCTCCACAGCAGTGAGGACTTGAAGTTCTTGATCAAGGAGTGCCTCAAGTTCCCACCCTCCGGGACCTCCAAACTCCGGGCGGTGGATGACTGTCACCTGAGGCGCTCACATACATCCCCCGGGGAGCAGGCCCACCGCGACCGCGCATCCCCTAAAAGGAAAGTCAGCGCCAACATCCCCTTTTCGCAGAGTTCGCTCGCGCCCTCCGCCGCCGAGGGGGGCTTCGTCGTCCACCACCAGCGGACCACCTCGAGCCCCTCCCAACTGGAGGGTTGCTCCGCCGCCCCTAGTCAACAGCTCCTGGCGCAGCTCCTCAAGGGTAGCTCCGAGCGGGGGTGCACCACTTTGCCCAGCCCTGTCTTTCCGGCCAACAATTTAGTCCAGAAGGTAAGCCACATCATTTTAGTAGTTTTAGAGTCGGGAATGGTGGCATGATAACAAAGTGCAACTTGGACAGCGTTAAGTAGAGAGGACTTAAGTCACATCAGCTACTGCCAAGTTTAATTGAGCAATTTAATTTTTTACATTAAAACGGTTGTTCGGATTTTTATGCAAGTTTCAGTGAATTCTGTGCATGAAGCAAATTCTTTAAAATTTTCAAAGGAATTCACACAAACATTCTTTTTGTAAAAAATTATATTGCCCATTGAAATTTGGCAATAGCTGATGCAGCTTGGTTTCTTTCTGCTAAACGCGATCCATTTAAGCGTATCACGGATGAAAGCGTCGATGAACATTTTTAATGAGATGATGTAGCTGAAATCAACCATATAAATTCCACGTCGCTTAACATTCTCCCCTGTTTTATATTTTCAACCGGAAAATGAAACAACGTAATACTTTTAAACATTCATGGCATTTTTCTTGGATTCGGAAAGATATCCTCACCTTCAAGGCAGAATATTTCAAAGCTTTTCGTCAATAGTATAATAAAACATGAAAGGAAATTGGGTGCCAAATAACGGTGCTAGATTGATTTGAGTTGAAAACTTAGAGTGAAACACCAAACAGGGTAAATATTAAAGCACCGAAAGATTTATTTCCCCATCAAAATATTTGATATAACATATTTTTAAATTTTAACATTCATAAAATCAATTCATAAACGAGAGACAAGTGGTCGGTACTTAAATTAAAATAACAGAATTTTGTAAATTTTCTAAGTTTAGAGCCCTCCTGTATAAATACAGAGAATATTTGAGCGGTATTTGGACTGTAAAATTCGAATTCCTGGTGAGCGATTTCCCCAGAAAACATATTTTTCCGGAGCCTCTGCGTCAATTTAGCAATATTCAATTTTGGGGAGGGGAGTCTTGCGCCCTCCTTTTGGGTAGAATATTTTCAACAGGCTCGGGCCGATTGTGAATTTCTTACTAGAGGTATAGTATGATATTTTCCCTATTCTCTGAATTTTATAACAAATTGTCCAAATTGTGAAGGAAACCTCAACCTATAGGGTCATTCTCAATCAGGAATGGGCCGATTTTGGATATATTGGCAGAGGTTTAGGGTGAAATTTTCCGTGCTATAATTCTGAAACTTTTCCGTAAATTTGATAGAAAAATTTCAAAAGTTTGAAGGGAACGTCAACTTATAAGATCACGCGACTTCCCTTTTATCTGCCGAGGGGGCCTACGCACTGGAAAAAAAAACACATTGGATCTAGAGTCCAGACTCCTAAAAACATCGACAAAAAAAAAATACTATTGATTCAATCAGATTTAAGCTTAAATCAAGAACCAAGCCTCTTAATTTGAGTGGATTTACTTTTGATTTAAGCTTAAATCTGATTGAATCAAGAGTCCTTTTTCTTGTCAATTTTTTCAAGAGTCTGGACTCTAGATCCAATGTGTTTTTTTTTCTAGGGCGGGTCTATGGAAGCCTCCGGGCAATGCTATTTGGATTCCTTAATGAAGACTTCATCCGATCAAAAATAATCGAGAAAAAAGCCTGAAACGAATGGTCTCTGACACCATGTTTATGTATTTTCAGTTTACTATTTTATTCACTTGACTACCCTCAATTTAAATCTTGTTTTGCTGAGAAGTCTCAAAATGGGAGCTGACGCACCGAATAGCGTCTGAATAAGATCAAAACAAGCTTGGAAGTGAGGTTATTAGACGCGTTGATTCAAACCCTATTCCAAGCAAACTTGGCCGGATAGAATTGGGTTGCCGTTTCTGTCGATCACAATTGAAACCGAGTGTAAAGAGCGTAACCCCGGCTTCATTGTCGGCGAAACACCTTCCGGAGCCATTCTCATGATATTATTCGCGGCCTCCTATTTACATTTCTATTTTAGGAAATCCTAAGTGCGATTATAAAACGGAGAGACTCGTTGCGACTGTGTTTCAGATGAAAACATGCTAACTTTCCGTGCCTTGACTCTCTCATGGTGATTCATCGTGCGTTGGGAAATCTTCCAAGAGTCCTGTTGATTCGGTGACCCGCCAAATTTTACGTCAGTCGCCGAAAAAAACTGGCGAGACAACGCGTTGCGAAATCTTGGGTAGCTCGGTCGCTCGGTGTTTTGAAATTTCCCGCCCTCGTCGGAAGCGAGGTACGGGGAAAGGGGGTTTGTGTGAAAAACCTCCCAAAGTTTTTACACACTGGTGACGTTACGGATGTGACGTCATTAGATGATGCTAGTTGTGACGTCAGTAGATGATGCTAGTCGGACGTCAATGCATTATGCTAATTGTGACGTCAATAGATGCTGCGTTGTTGATGTGCTAGTTGTGACGTCACTTCATGTTGATTGTCGTGACATCACTATAAAATTTCTCCTTCTTATCCTTTTTTTTAAAATGCGAACTGAACCAGAACAATAATACAACCTCTTTCATAGGTATGATGAATTTTGAGAGTAAAATCAATTTCAGTGAGTCACTTTGCTTTTCTATATTATATTATTTTCATATAAGAGAATCGATACGATTTCATAATAGTCGGCGACAAAACTATATATATTTGTCCAAAGACCAATTTCTGCATAATTCCTGCAATTTTCTGCAAAAAAACCAGTTTTTTCCGGTTCAGTTGAAGATTATGAAACAAGATTGATTAAACTGTGTTTTTCGAAGAGACAACTATTCGTGCTCTGCGGTATATTTCTTGACTATGTGGCAAAATTGAAGGCGAACCTGAAGTTGCTGATATTTATCAATAGGTTTACGCATCTATTACATTAGAAAGTTTTTGGAACGAGATTGTGTTTTTGAGAGATACAACTATTTGTACTCTGCGGTAGGCTTGTTGCCTATGTGGCCTATGAGGGGGAACCACAAGTAGATGACACCTACCATAAGGATCACGTATTGTCAATCAGTTTTATGCGAGTTCGAGGAGCGATACAAATGTCCGTTTTGTACATAGACAACTATTTGTGCTGCCCGATAAGTTTTTTACCTATATTCGAAAAAGTTGATAAGGAACCTCAATAATCAATGTACCAATGTATGGCTTACAGACCAAAAATGACTGGTTCATTTACGACAGTTAACGGTGTTCTATGTATACCACAGTATGGTTTCTAAACCAAAGATTTTTCTTATCGGACGTTACTTGAAAATTTTAACTCTTTCTTTTTTCGGTCCATTTCCTCCCTTCTTTTCCTCTTTTTCTCTCATAGGCGGATCCAGGGGGGCCTAGGGGGCGCACCCCCTCTCCCCCCCCGTTCGTCAGAAAAAACTGAGGAAGAACGAAGGAATGAACATAGGAAAGAAGAAGGAAATACGCTTACATTAATTGGTAATTATTCATAACGAAATTGACTCAAGCTGCATATTAGATACCTCAAAAATTAAAAAATTTCTCGGAAAAGGCCGTCGGAACCCCCTTACGCCCCCCCCCCCGTTAGAGGTGTTTGGATCCGCATATGCCCTCTCTTTCTCCTTATTCTCCTCCTTGTTCTTCCTCTTCCTTTTATTCATTTCCCCCCTTTTCCCATTTCTTCTCTCCTCTTATTCTTTTCCCTTTTCTACCGAGAATAAACACTATTCCGACTTATTTTTTTCGCAATACCCGCAGGCATCTCGTATTCATTCATCACTTGGTTGATGGGGATGGGCGATGGAGCATCAATCGTTGGCACGCCCTCCGGTGCTTACTTTTACTCTGAACTATTAATTTTCCTCGCAATAACAATATTTACTAATTAAAAGAAAATAAAGCCTCCTCGAAGCCATCCATTCAATGAGCACACGTTACACCTGTATGTTGCCCGCTAATAATGAGTAATAATGAGACGGGAGGGAGAAGGCACTTGCGAAGGGCCCCCGCGGCGTTGCTACATTGTACACATAATGTTCACGAATTCGCGTTATTTTAGTGAACAAAACAGACTATTTTTAAGAATCTCAACGATGCTATTTCAGGACATTCAACTCAGGCCCGGCGAAGAAATCTCTACGACGTTCCTGATTGATGGTAAAAAATGATTGTTCGATATTTTGACTAACAATCCACCACGAGCACGTGCGTTTCAGAAAGGGATTGGCAGATTTTCTCAATGGTACAGTCGTGGATTCTGCCAGCCCTGCCGCACAGTGGATTGAGTCAATCAGAGAGATCGGACATAAAATTGACGTATTTATGCTGAATGGAACTATGTGCAAGTGGAAAGATGGGATGTGCTCGTTAGTTGTCGGGCCATAAGAATGAATGGGAATTATAAAGCGCCAGTGACGTCAGCGGCAACTGCGAGAGAAACGACGATCGGGAAGGCGGTCTTTAACTCATGAGCCCTGTCCACAAGGCTCTTGTCACATGCCCACGGCTCACGAGTTAGCGCTCAGTTCCTTTTCATTTAATTGAAAATTCCGCTTCTCCATTCTCTCAAAAGGAACTATGTCCACTTTTACATTCTTTCTTATCCACCTTTCACAAGCACACCCCATCTTTCCACTTCCACATAGTTCCTTTTAGCATCGATACGTCCAAATTTTTGACTAAAACTGCAAATTTTGATGCTTATTTCGTCACATTTTAAATTTTGAAGGGTGCTTTTCAAAGAAAATTTTACGAGGAGCCAATGGAGCCACTTTTAGAACCTCAAAGTTTTGTATAAACGGAGTTATGAGCTTTCAAAGTTTCCAAAGTTTGTCCGACTTCCTCCACTGTCTCGATCCACTGTGTACCGTTACGAGCGGACGCGTTGATTGAGAGAATGAGGAACGATGCGAACGGAGTGGAAACGTCAAGCTTGAATTTTGTCGCTCTTTTCGCGCAAAAAAAAGAGAGCTTAGTTGCGGCCCCACTCACGTTTTAATTAGATCTCCCTTGGTTTTTTCTGGAGGAGAAGAAAAACATTCCCCTCTCGGTACGTTTTAACGAACCCACGCATCTACATACTGACGGACGGAATCTTTCAGAGGTAGAGAAACAAC